AGTTTTAGTTGTCATATTTATCTCTTTTTCTGTCTATTTTTCTGTCAAAGATAAAATGTGAATGTTATTCGATATTGTTATTTTTGTCATTTGATATTGTTATTGCCGTGATTTGAAAGAGAACACTGGTTCAATCAATATTGTATTCATAAAACAATGGTTCGATTAACAAGTAAAAGAAAAAAATTCACAAAACCAATTTTTTTTTTTTTGTTCGAGAACAACCAAAAAACAACTCTAGTTTTTTTTCTTTAGAAAATTTTTCAGCCCACTTGTAATCTCAATGTAAAAAAATATCTTTTAATCATCTCAAGTTAAATTATTATACTTTTTAGATATGAGTCAGTTCAAGTAAACTTCAAATAATTTACCTCTAATATTTATATTTTATTTTATTTGTAGAGATGACAACTTTTGTAGTAGAAGTACATCACAGTGGTTATTTTATGCATGAGTCGTATTTTCAGTACGTAAGTGGTAAGGTGGATCGTTATACAAATTTTGATCCAGATTATTGGTCTTTCTTTGAGGTAATTGACATTGTTGAACAATTGGGATATTATAATTATTTTAAATTGTGGGGTAGGGATCCAACAAAAGAAGTAGGTGGTTATTGAGTAATAAAATCTGATAAAGATGTTATGGAGTTAGCTAGTCTTTTAAGTGATGGAATGACATTTGAGATATACGTAGAACATAAATGCGAAGATGAAGCAATATTGTCAGACAATGATAGTGATGCATTACCTTATATGAGTGGCTGTGAATCTGAATTTAAAGATGATGATAATACATATTTTGATAAGAGTGTAGAGGGAACTTCAAAATCATTGGATATCATAAGAACATATGAGAATGTTGCGAAGAATGATGGAAGTGACATTGGCTTGAGTGACCTAATCTCATTGAAGGACTCGTCGATTCTGAAGGTAATGTTGGAACAAAATATCTTATTTATAGAGAAATAATGGGTGATGAGAAACCACACTTTGAACTAGGCATGTTATTTAACTCATTAAGTGAGTTCAAGAATGTCCTAGATGATTACGCTGTTAAGGGAGGATGGCATATACGATTTGTGAAAAATGATAAGATAAGAGTTAGAGCCAAATGCATGGATGGTTGTAAATGGTTGGCTTATGTAGCAAAGGTAAAAGGAGAAATGACTTATCAATTGAAGACCTATGTTGATGACCACTCATGTAGTAGATGCTTCAACAATCCGCGCCGAACATCTAGGTGGTTAAATAAGTAAATATTAAATGATGTGAAGGAACAACCGGATATGAGATCGTGCGCCATCCAAGAGAAGGTACAACGTAAGTACATTTCACAAATTAATAAAATGAAAGCATCTAGAGCAAAGAAATTAGCTTTAGATATAGTTCATGGATCACACAAAGAGCAGTATAATCGATTGTGGGAGTATTGTGAGGAGATACGTAGATCCAATCCTAGCAGTACTCTATTGAACTTGGATGTGCGACATGAACACGAAGAGGTTGACAGTCAACCAATTGGTAGAATTAGACAGATCAATGTTTTCCAACGGTTTTATATTTGTCTCGATGGATGTTGACGAGGTTTCATTGCTGGTTGTAGGCCATTTATTGGTTTAGATGCTTGCCATCTGAAAGGTCCTTCTGGTGGACAACTAATTGTAGCAGTTGGAAGAGATCCTAATGACCAATACTTTCCCTTAGCCTTTTCAGTTATTGAGGCAGAGACTAAGGACTCATGGACTTGGTTTTTGACTAAATTACTCATGGACATTGTGTTGGCTTTTTGGCCTTAATCTCAAATTAATTAATTTTAATTAATTAATTAATTACTGTTTTGATGATAACAAACTTAATTTTATTTATTGACAATTTTTGTATTTTAAAGTGTTCACAGTGTAGAGCTCGTTACAACGATTCCAACGACTGTTAGATCATCCAAATTGGAGCTCAAATGGAGAAGTTACGATCGAAACACTACCCGAGAAGATGACGTGGACAGTTCGTAAGCTAACAAGTGACAAGCTTCTTTTTAAAATATATATATATATATATATATATATTGAAAAAGAAAAGAAAAAGATTAAAAAAAAATCACTTCATATTAAATGCAGTGTCAGTATTTAAAAAAGATTATTTTGAAAAGTTTACCGCTCTCTCTCTCTCTCTCACACACACACACACATATATATATATATTATTCTTAATTTATTTTTTTAAAATTATCTCAACCCTTCATTCTTAATGATTAAGATCTAATGATTTAAAATTAAACTTGTTTTTTTTACCATTTTCTTCCCTCTATTTAAACTAAACTTCTCATTCAAAATCATACAACAATTCTCTTATTCTCAATCCTCCATAACTTCAAAATTTTCATTTTGCTAATCTCTCCAAGTTCTCAATTTTTCTTTCCATCTTATTTGTGAGAGAAATTTTATTGTTGTGAGGATTGAAATTTTTGTGAGCTCAAATTTGTATATTTACTCTATTTGAGAGTTTGTAAGTGTGTATTTCAAAATCTTCAACTCATTGTAACGGTGTGATCCTCACCGTGGAGAGGATCGTCTTTGCTCTTATGAAGAGCAGTGTACCGGTTTGACTCCTACTGTGGAAAGAGTCAGATTTTCAATTTACAACCCAAGAGGTGCTTGGGAAGTGGAGTAGGACATTTGTGCCGAACCACTATAAAATTTCCGGTGTCATTTTATCTAACCCTACTCTATTTAATTTTTGCAATTAATTTTCTTTATTACAAATTGCATAAAATTAATTGTTCGAATTTGTTATTCATATTTATGCTCAATGTTTATATTTGAATTATGTGGGTGGTGAAATTAATTAGGGTGTTTGTATTTCTAATTTATTGTTTAAATTGTGATAAAATTAATTGTTCCTAAAAAGTTTACTTATTTGTTTAAATTTGGGCCTACCGTAGTAAAAAGTTGTTTTGCTCTTCTACAAAAATTATTTTTCAAATTTTATCTTGATACTAAGTATCTTCTTAATTTTTGAAAAATTATTTGAAAAACTTAATTGCTAGGGCTATGACAACTTTAGATTTTCTTGAAAGTTATTGTATTTATAAACCTCCATTGTTTGATGGTAAAAAATATGGTATTTGGAGACATCGTATGAAAACATTCTTGTTGTCTATTGATTTTGATATTTTGTATATTTGTGAAAATGATGTATCTAAATTAAAATTAAGTGATGAAATGCTTTCTTTTAATGCCAAAATCATAAATATCATATGTTGTGCTTTAGATAGAAAAATATGCACTAGTAGAAAGTTGGCCTTCAATGACAGTTGTGAACAGTAAAAAAGTTTGAAGGAAAAAAAACTGTCATAAATGATGGGGGCGCGTTTTTGGAGGGAAAAAACGCTATTCTTCGGATTTTGTAAGTTTTATGACAGTTAAAAACTGTCACGGAAACCAAATTTTCAATGACAGTGAAAAATTGTCACGAAATGGTGGAGGCGCGATTTTGGCGGGAAAAAAGATAATTTACGAAAATTTTCATGCTTTTATGACATTTTATAATTGTCAAGAAAAATAAAAAAAAATTCCAAGTATTCGATGACAATTATCTAGACCATCTTGAGAATGTATGACATACAAAAAGTGTCACAAATGATTTTGAGTGCGTTTCATTTTTGTCGGAAAAACTGTAGTTCTGTTAACGATATTAATTATTTTGGGATTGTCCGGTCGAGTATAGATTTATGCTTAATAGTTTCTGCAAATACTTCATGAAACAAGTAGAAAATGATATTTGGTTTAGTGGTATGCTTATCCTGCGTAATTGTGTCGTTCCTCTCTTCGGTCCCAAGTTTGAGCCATATGAATTTAAATTATTTTTTCAACCCTCTATTAATATATTTTTATAAAAAATAATATAAGTTCATTCTAGTTTCACCAAGCATTTCGTAAACAAAATATTCATATTTAATTTATACCCGAGTTTTTTTTTATTGGAATGAAATGTAGTCAACTTAATCGAATGCTTATGAATTATTTTGGGTTTAAGTTGGAGACTATTTATCGCCGGCCACGTGTCGACAAAAGAAAGGTATTGTTATTTAAGAATATCTTTGATCAAGATACTATGTGCAAGTCTCTTCAGGTCGGAATGTTTTGCTGAGCTAAACTGTTCATTATATTTTATCGACCGACCTAAAAGGTTAGAGCCGACCTACGCGAAGATGTCCGCAGGAGTGTTGAATTACACATTAATCAGACAACACGCTGCGTTTTACGGGTAGTCGGATGACCGTTAAGCCATTGTCGGGAGTCTTGTTGGAGATCATCTCTATAAATAGAATTCAATTTTATTATTTATTGGGTGTGTATTTTTTTTATTATTTATTTTTGTAAGAATTCAATACATGCTCTTATCCTCATTTGCTGGCAAGGATGTTCAAGAAATGATTTTAAATTTCGTGATTTAAAGTCAGAGAAATTATTCAAATATCATTTTTACTACAAGAAATTGTTGTTGCCTTTGTAGACGTACACTTTTCACGTTTTGAAATTCTCACATTTTCTGTAATGCCCGCGTTCTCTGGCTCGTTTATTTCACACTACAACAATTATCACCTTTAATGTCAGTTGGTTGCTTGTAAACAATGATGGTTTGAGCTATAATGTCGGTTTTAAAAAGCCAGATCTTTAATGTCAGTTCAGAATTGACATCAAATATGAAGATACAATGTCAGTTGTTAAGTCACATCGAATATCAAAAAATAAATAAATAAAAATTAGAATTTAAAATACCATAAAAACTAAATTGGAAAAAATTTAGTAACCAAAGAAAACAAACAATTAAGATATTTAGCTAGGAGTAAAAATTAAAATACATAAACACCCCCGACCAATTAAAATAAAGTAAACAAACAATTAAAAAATAATAATTTTAAATTAATAATTAAATAATAAAAATAGAAAAATAGAAATAAAAAGTCACGTCGATCCCTTGTCTGATAACTCGTAGCCCAAGTTTGGGTTAACCCATCCCCTCTCTCTCTCTTCTCTGTTTTTGCAGTGCGAGAACTTTGGGGGATCCACTTTTCTCTTAAAGCTTAGGTAATTTCTTCAACTTATTTTCTAGGGTTCCCTTTTTCCTTCCTTTCTGCAATTCAATTCCCCAGTTTTAGCACTCAATACCGTTTTGCCTCTGCTGCATATTGTTTCTCTTTCTGAATTTTTGATTTAGACCCCCTTTTTCTTCCTCTTTTTCCCTTTTAAGTTGTGGGGTTTTACTTTTAATTGTTCTTAGTCTTGGTAGTGTGGAGGTTTTGGGGAATTTGAGAGGAAT